GTCAGTTGGGAGGCCTGCGCAGCCTATGGGGCCTCTGGTAGCAGAACAATATTTATCCCTAGTGCATGAATGGGCTTTGGGAGCCCACTCCACATAGAGGGATACTCTCTCAGCCTAGATACATGGGGCAGGGCCTAGATCCTGCCCCAAATGATGTGACAGACTTTGATGATCCCTCGTGTGAGTCCTCACCCTACTTGGGGAGTGGATGGGGGATGGGACGTGAGGTTGGTGGGGGAATGGGAGGATGGAAGGGAGAGGAACTGGGATTGGTATGTAAAATAAGATTGCTTTTAATTTAAATAAAATTTATTTTTAAAAAAGGAAGAATAGGTAGAAAATAGAGAATGTGTGCCATTATTTGGCAAAAAATAAAGGCCCAGAAAGTCCTGTTTCTGCAGAAGATGGCTGTGAGCTTCCTTTGGCCAAATGAAAAAAGGTAAACACCAAATAATGGAGTCAGAGCACCCATTAGAGGCCCCAGGTAAACTTCTCAAAGGGACGTTCATATTCCTACCTCTGAGACCAGAAAGAAATCTCTTATTTTATTAAATATAAACAGGATCTCAAATATCAGTCTAAGTGTGATAATTTGGGACGGGATCCTTCACCGTTATAACGATTTTTCTTCCTTTTTTTGAGATTTATCTGTTTATTATTTATATTGTATGTGGTGGGTATGGGCGTGTCAGTGTCAGTGCAGGTGCCCGTGGGAGCCAGAAGAGGTGTCTGATCCCTTGGAGCCTGGGATGCAAGTAGTTGTGAGCCAGCTGTCATGAGTGCTGGGAACCAAACTCAGGCCCTCTGCAAGAGTGGTACTCAATCTTAGCCAGGGTCTTGCTACATGGCCCTGGCTGTCCTGGAACTCACTATGTAGACCAGTCTGTCCTGGAACTCACAGAGATTCACCTGCCTCTGCCTCCAGAGTGCTGGGATTAAAGGCTCGCAGCACCACCACACCTGGCTACAACGTATTTTCAATGAAGTCACCATCATTAGAATCATTAACCTTCCAGAAATAGAAGAGAGGACCCCTTCTGACATCTAAGTCAGCAAGTTTTTGTTTTTTGGGGGGTTTTTTTTTTGGGGGGGAGGGTGGGGAGGGAGGATGGTGGCATATAAACAAAACTGATTTTTCTGAAGAAATTAGGTAGGTACCATAAAGGGGACAGATAAAGTGACCTCTCCGACCTGGCTGCCTGTGGGCAACGCTATGGGATCGAGTCTCAGAATCATGCCAAACGTCCCTATCTCCATACCAGCCAACCTTGCCAGTGCATGAGGTCACCCACAGATCCAGGCTTCCAGGTGCAAGCTCACTACCCTGTTTACACAGAACCGAACATCAAGACACAGTGAGATTCTCTACCCCTTCCACTCACAATACAGTAAAGAACAGCAAAAGCTCAAGTGGACAGTTCTGGCGACATAGCCTGCCT